TGATGATAAGAACAGTTGTATAGTTTAGTGCAGCTGCAAACAAATGAATTAAGGTTTTGTTCTTCAAAATACGTTTTCCAGCTGACATACTATTGTCTGTATCCCACCAGCTAGGAATTATATCAGCATATAACTCAGGACACAGTAGTAACAAATAAAATATTAACATATTTTTAAATTTGTTAAAACAAATGCATTATGATCATGCTTTCAGTTCTAAATCACTTACCTTTGCACTGTAAGCCTTGTCTAAAAAGTCCTTTAAGTAATTTTTTGCAGTACTGACAAACTGTTGGCCTTGTATATGAGTGAATGACAAAAGTATGAGGCACTTTAACCTTGGAAAGTAAAATCTTGTCAAGTTGAATAGGTCGCCCAATGTGTGATTGTGAATTGGACCTCTTCTCTCTCCCAAGTGAAAAATCAGGTGGTGATTTCTGCTACAATAGGTCAGTAAGATACATAAAGTCATTTTAGTATGGAAGGCATTTTTGCATATATATATATATATATTTTAAATACCTTAAACATATACTCTAGTCCTGTGATGGCGAACCTATGGCACACGTTCCAGAGGTCTCTCTGTGGGCATGTGCACCATTGCCAGCTGGTCTTTGTGGGCACTGGAGCACTGGAAAATGGCCTGAAAATTGCACAAGAAATGCTCCAAAATGCCTATTTTGGGGACGTTTTTGGCCTTTTTGGGGATTTTTGGCCTAGTTTTAGGCGTTTTGGGGCTGTTTTCAGGTCATAAATGCTGGGGAAACAGCCAGAAAATGGCTAGAGAAATGCTCAAAAACCAGCCTCTTTTGGGTGCATTTTTGGTCCTTTTTTGTGCTGTTTTCAGGCCAAAATTGGCTGGAAAATGATCAGAAAATGGCCCCAAAATGACCTGAAAAAGGGCCAAAATGCCCCAAAACAGACTCTTTTTCAGGCCACAAAAACAGGTATGTGTGCACTGGCCAGCTGGCCTACAGGTTTCTGGTGCATGGACACGCGCATGCACGCACGCAGGCTTCTTACAGGAATTCCTTTTTGCCTTTTCTCCCTTACCCACATAGCATTTGTAATGAAGCAGCCCTGAAGAACATCAGAGTGGATTATCAGTTGAGACTTCTGGACATGAAAAATTCTACACTTGGCCAAATGTACCTAAATATGGCTTCTATGTTCAATTTCAGCAATACGATTAATTTTAAATCTAATCAGGTCTCCAGCATATTATTTAGTAAACATGAAAAAATATATAATGCTATAGAATACATGTATAAGAAGACTGTATACTTTTAAATACAAAATAGTGATATTATTAAATCATTGTTTGGAAATGGTTAGTTGAGATGAAGAGAAAAACAGAATTGAACTTCAAACTTGTTTCCATTTCTACCACAGACATATAAACTGAAACATTTCTGCATTTTATTTAATTTATCAATTTGTTTAATCAGAAATATTTAGAATGGTTTTTGAATGTATCCTTATATATTGGGACAGTATAGTCCAACATAGTTAATGTAATAAGCCCTGCTTCCTATGTCATTTAAGAAGATCCACCTTTAAATGACTGAGTAACACCCACGACACAATTCTACAATATTCCCTGCCAATGTTTTCTATTAATGAAAAACAGACAATAGAAGACCTAAAACTGGGACTAAAAGTTAAAGCAGTATCTTCGATAAGAAAGTGAAAGGATGCCTTAACTCTTTCTACAGTCATTCATTTAGTGACCTTTCAAAGTTACAGCAACACTGAAAAAAGTGACTTATGACTGTTTTTCANATGTTACAACTTAGAAAATAATAGATGTTAGATGTTATTCCAATACATACAATAGGAAACCTACGTTGTGGCAACACCTGAGTGTCCCTTTCTATACTTCTTTGAACACCATCCCAGGTTGTTTGCTTTTTGTGTGACTCTTGAAGCACTTTGTATACATGGAAATTAAACTGCAGCATACACAATGTAATCATGAACAATGAAAGACTTCTGCAAAGAACCCTGAATGTTCTTTATTTCAGTGTTAAATAAATGAATAGGTTCAGCTAATTACTTACTTACCAAACTGTCTTTGCTTGTGTAGTGAACCATCCATCCTTCTTTTATTACTGTACTACTTCTCCTTTTTGCATGTTTGACAGATTGTACCACTCTCATTAATGGGATATTATTGCTTGTTGAAGGGCTTGAAAAAAGAACAGCAATGAATAACATCATTTGAATGAAGCTTTCAAAGAGAGACAATTTAAAGTTACTTGTTCAACTCATGTAATTCTAAACAGCTATTTATTGCAGCATAATAATATCTAGAATCTCATTCATTTGTTATATATAATGAACCAACACAGAAATGTCACTAGAAGGTTTTAAAACGAGCTACATGGCTACCTGTTTTGTATGATCTAATTGCATTTGCACTGTGCAGAAGTTTGATCTAGATCACAAGTATCAAACTCGTAGCATCACTGTTGCTGTTACGTGATGTTTTCCCATTTGTGGAGCTGGGATGGGCATGGTCTGTGTGTGGCACATCCGGCCCATGGGCTGCTAATTTGGCACTCCTTATCTAGATCATATATAATTTACCTTATATCTAAATGACACATTCAATGAAGAAGAACATTAAAATTATATTATAATAAAACTAACATGGAACTTTAAATTTAGACACATATCATTTGATCTCAGTATGATATCACTTGGAGAAAAGAACCAAGAAACTCAAAATGGCAAACATATCCAACTGACCTTTCTACTCCTATTTTCCCACAACCATCCTGTGAGGTGAGTTGGCTTGAGAAAGTGTGATTGGCCCAAGGTCACCCAGCTGGCTTTCATGACTAAGGTAGAACTAGGACTTGGTCTCCAGCTATCTAGTCAAGTATCTTAACCACTAGATCAAACTGCTCTCTCACTATGCTAAACTCACTATGCTAAACTTACCTGATCATTCTGTTACTCTCATCATGGTCAAGATCAGTGTCCTGCATGTCTCCACTATCACCTGGATTCACAGTCACCATCTCAGCATCAGGCGCCATAGAATCTTCCATTTCATCTAAGAGGCCACTGTTTCTTTCACTGTCATTGTCATCACTTCCCTCTTCCATCACTATATCAGTCTCCATTCCAGGGCTAAGCAAGTCTGGAATGTTTTTAAAAAAACGACATTGTTATAACAATCTGGAAAAATAGTTCAAGCTGAATTGGCTACATTATCCCAGATCACATAAGTAAACCTTATCTCATCCTCAAGTATCTAAATCTGCTTTGGAGGGCTCTTTATCTTTGGAGCAGATTATGCAGTTGAGAGAAGGAAGAATAAAACTTCCTGGCTCATTGGTGAATACAAATTTAGTCATTGGATGAAGCTAATTGAACAGAATGTTATATCTAAACAGTATATCTACCTTTATGTCTACAATAAATATAGAAAACAGAAGTGAAACTACATCAGGAATATTCTCTAACTTCTACAAAAAATACTATCTTGTACTTACACAATGCATGTGACCATGCATTAGCATATTAGCCAATGCAAAGCATTCTTCCTATTAATAAGCAAGAAACAGCACAACTTTTATATACAATGTAGGCATACATAATGATCCATTTTATCTGTGGGATGCAAAAGCCTGATGAATATAAGGTAAAGATAAATTATTCCATGGACTCACATATATATTATTTTTGGCAACAATATAAATAGTTTGTCCTGGTCAAAGACATTGACTGCCTTTAATGATATTTTTCAACTTCTCTGTCTAATGTAACACCCTGTATTTTTTGTTCATCTCTGGTTCATCTATATTTTTTAGCTTTTTAAGATCAGCTAATATTGGCTTCCATCTGCTGTAATCAGATGCACATAGGTGAAAACAACACAAGTGAGGGAAAAGCATGAATAATAAGTAGCATGTCATGTAGTTAGATATAACTAGTTTTTTAATCTCATTTTATCTAATTATATAAATTACAAAACTAGATTAAGCCAAAATCTTCTCAAAAACTTGAAAAAAGAATAATAGGAGCAGAAGGTATAAAAAAATAAAGTCAAAGACTTTATGAAGTAGCAGATCACCAGGTGTTATTAAAGACAGGAGAGCAAATAATGATTAGTAGAACTATTGACAAAATTAAACAACATTTTAGCATTTTGCTGTAGCCCACATTGAATAAAATAGTGCATTACAATATGAAAGCTAAGCCTGTAAATATATTAAAAATATCCACAGATTACAAAAAAATATTTCATGAAATCAATGGCAACATGTAAAATTCAAATCTTTGTCACAAAGTGTCATATTCTAAGCATTTTCTTATCAGCTTTATTCAAAATTGAAAACACACTAGGGGAATCAGCCTTTCCTCTAGTATCTTTTTCTGTAAGCTTACATGTTTTGTGCCAGAAAGAAATTGTTTTTCTTAATTATCTTCAGTTAGAATAATATAATACTGTAAGCACTAGTACTGTAATCTTGTTTTTCTCTCTTGAAAGAATTTTCAATAAACATTTTTCTAATCCTGGGCTGGTTGTTTAAGGATGGCAAACACCCTTGTGTAATTTCCTGAAAGTCATTCCCCTTTGGCAGACATAACAATCGGAGAGGCAAATATGATTTGCCTACAAATTGATTCATTTTTAAGAGATTCTTCACAGGAAAGTTGCTTCTAAATACTGAAAGACTGCACTACTGAAAAAAGTATGTTATAAAGACAACATTGATCAACTGTTATTTCTGGAATATAAATATTTTTAATAACTGTCTATAAAAACTTTAAAATGGGCTCTTTAGGAACTCTGGGGTTCCTAAATCTCGACTTCATGATAGACCTTGATTGCAGTGACCGTAGCATGTATAATATTTAAGTCTCATTTATTTTTTTGATCAGTTATGTACAACATTTTTAGGTCAAAGTCTATTCCAAAATGGTTGAATGATAATTGTATGCCAGAACCTATATTCCAAAAGTGAGCAGACCCAATATCAAGAAAAGGGTTTGGCTTGTCAACAATCACAGAGTTGGTCCAAGATCTGCAGAAGAACATCCGAAGGCTGCTTGCTTCTTTCCAATATGGAATTCACTTATGTTGATGCATTAAAAAAAATTAGAAAAACTGTTTTTTCCAGATGCAATGTATGGCTGTGAAAGTTGGACCATAAGAAAGGCTGAGTGCCAAAGAATTGAGGCCTTTGAACTATGGTGCTGGAGAAGACTCCTGCAAGTCCCTTAGAAGGCATCTCTGAAGGCTCCGGACTGTGAAAAACGGCCCAACGCACAAACTGGAAGTCCATATTGGAAAGAAGCAAGCAGCCTTCGGATGTTCTTCTGCA